TGCAGCATATAGCTTATATATAAACTTTAAAGCTTAAGCTTAATACTGCAAAGCCTGCAGCAAATGCTCCCGGGGTGGAGGTGGCAGCCCCTGCCGACCCCGCTTTAGCAAAATATGCAGCTGATAATTTTAAAAAAATCGTCAAATGTAAATGTTCTTTTTCTATCCAAGTGGGTTTTAATATTTCAGAAAATGAGATATCCAGGTTTTAATTGTACATTTTAGATGCTATGGTGTCTGCTATACAGGTTATTTTCTCTATAAATTGTATTGAGAGCTTTCTTAGTGCTTAAAACTAGAGCTGAGGTTACCATTAAATGCAACGTAATGAAAAGAGATTGTTAAAATCTGTTTTTTAAAATGTTGCCCAAATTATTTTTTTTAAATAATTTTCTAATTATTATTTTGCTATAGATGCATTTCCCCTGGGATTTTATCAGCCATTGACTTTAAAGAAGTTTGCATTTCTCTTCATACTGTTTTGTTCTAACCACTTCAGGTTTCTGCACTACTGATTTTTATTTGCCATGATTCAAGTACATGGTCATGACCTTTGGTCTTTTCAGTTGAAGTAATATTTTCAATATTGACAATTCTGTTTAATCAAGGAACTCTCCATAGCTTTCTGGAATTCCTAATTTTGGCTCAGAGGTTTCTGTTGCATGGCAATCCATAATATCAAAAACACATCATGATGCATTTTTTTCAGTGGCATTTAAGTCTCTCGGTTAGAGCCAGAACTGAGAGTTAAGGACTCCTAGATTCTGTTCCTCAATGCCATTGGCTTATTGTGCTGTGTCTGGAGAGTCACTGAGGCACAAAAGGGTTAACTTTTCATCTGTAAAATGGGTTTAATAAAATAATTGGTGTACATGGATATTACATGACTTGTTACAGTATTTGAATCCCAGACAGGGAGCACTCAAGACAACATAAACATATTTTAATTTGATTCCGTGAGAGCGGGAAAGTCAGTCATCTAATCTAATTATTTGGGCATCCTTCTAGTGAAAGATTTAACTTTGTCCACTGACAAGTGGTTTCAATGTTCACATAGAAAGGTTTTGTGGTCAAAAGTGCTTGGCTCCTTCAGACACTCAGAGGCTTAATAGTAAGGTTACTCATTTGGCCAGGTTTTGTGATTGCTAAGAGAAGCAATTTCGCAGAGTAAGAAACTCAATTCTGTAAGTATAGTGAATCTGAATCCAAGCAGCACAATCAGCTTTTGGACAATAATGATCTGCTGGAACATAATTCATTGGACTGTGCTTCACCGTAGTGGGCCTTAGACATAAGAACATAAGAGAACATAAGAAGGGCCATACTGGATCAGATCAAAGTTTCATCTAGCCCAGTATCCTGTCTTCTGACAGTGACCAATGCCAGATGCTCCAAAGGAAGTGAATAGCACAGGTAATTGTCATGTGATCCCTCCCCCTGACACCCATTTTCAGCCTCTGACGAACAGAAGCTAGGGACACCATTCCTACCCATCCTGGCTAATAACCATTGATGGACCTAACCTGCATGAGTTTATCTAGTTCTTTTTTGAACCCTGTAAAGATCAGGACTTTAACAACATCCTCTGGCAAGGAGTTCCACAGGTTGATTGTGTGCCTGCCTTAGGCAATGAGGACTCTCAGAGTTAAATTAAATTTTTGTTTCTCTGAAACTTAATCTCACCAGCATGTTGGCTGGCAATGGGTAACTGATGAAGGGCAGGCTTCTGTCGGATCTCAATAAGAATTATCCCAAATCTCTGTAAGCTCCTTCAGAATAAAAGGAGCTGTATTTTTAGGCTTTGGTGTCCACTTGTAAAACTTAACTCCTATGTTCCTGGATCCAAAAAGCTTATGCTACAAGCATCCTCCTCCTGAAACACAAAGTGGTGAAGACAGCTTTATGGTTACGTCCTTGTGTCCTGTTTGAAGTGAGAGCTTAATTTTGTGTGTGGGGGGGGAACTCTGGTTCATACTTCACCTTCTAAGCAATCATGACCACAGTAAAATTTAACACCATTCAATGAAAGCATTCTCGGTGCATATGGTTTTAGGAAACTAATAGGAATGGCTTAATTTCTCTAAAGTTATCATATTTGAAATGGTTAATTTAGGGTCTTTATCAAGGATTTATATGCTCAGTTTTCACTTTCTGTCTTGGATATTTCCAAAAAAATTGTGCACTTATTACAAATTCTTAGAAGAGGAGACAGTACAGTCTATCTTGGTGGAACAAATGAGCAGAGGCGTTTCCTTTATGGGGGGAAAAAAAAAAGCTTTCTGAAAAGACTTATGTTCTGATGAAAGCAGTCCCTGACACAGTGTTTTCAAAATTATCTCTTGCTTTGGAGAGCTCTAATGGAATTACTTTGGATATTTATCACTGTAAAGCCTGTGAATGTGATGCATTACATACATAGTCTCTTCCTGTACCTTACTCTGATGCCCATTATTCGGGTTAAAATAAAACATCTGTCAGAACCAGTTACGTCAGGGCTGGGCAAGATGTGGCTCGGGGGCCGGATCCGGCCTGCCTAACACTTTGATCCAGACTGCATCTGGCTGCTTTATTTATATCCTGCTGCCCGTGACACCGAATTTCCAGGCGGTGGCTCAGGTAGCAGGATCCTATTAAAATGGTTCTCGGCTTTTAGCTTGGCACTACCCTAGAAGGGGCCAGAGCCATGAGTCTTTTAAATAGCCGCAGCAATCCCAGCCGACTGCCAGGCAATGCGGTAGCGAAAGGGCCGGGAGCCGTGAGTCCATTTCTGTGTTTCCAATTCAAAGCTCCTTGGGGGGGGGAAGGAGGGAGGAATTGCCCCCAGCCACACCCCTTCCGCCCCTTCTGGGGGTGGAGCCGGCCCATGACCACATAACAAAATTCTTTAAATAGCCCCCTCCCATGAATATTACTGCCCACCCCCAGGTTAACTGTTGGTATGCAATAGCCTGTTAATCTCCATTGTCTCCTTGTCATGTTGGTCAGTTCTGATAGTTGAGTCCTCAGCTCACCTAAGAAACGATCATAGGACAGCAGAGGAGGAGGGTGAAATACCGATCTTTTCTTCTACCTTGAACCAGTATCTTTTGCATTGGTGCTTAGATCTGGATTTTTTTGAATACTTATGCCCCAAAGGGTCAGTGTAAAAACAAATGGCTATTACCATTAGTCTCATAGAACCATAGAGCTGGAAGAGACCTTAGAAGGCCATCAAGTCCAGTCCCCTGCCCAAGGTAGGACCAATCCCAATTAAATCAACCCAGCCAGGGCTTTGTCAAGCCGAGACTTTAACACCTCTAGGGATGGAGACTCCACTACTTCCCTAGGGAACCCATTCCAGTGCTTCACCACTCTCCTAGGGAAATAGTTTTTCCTAATATCCAACCTGGACCTCTCCCACCACAACTTGAGACCATTGCTCCTTGTTCTGCCATCTGTCACTACTATGAACAGCCTCTCTCCGTCCTCTTTGGAACCTCCCTTCAGGAAGTTGAAGGCTGCTACCAAATCCCCTGTTCTGTGGGGTCTGTTTGCTTCAGTTTCTGTTCACCAGTTACTGATTTTTCTAACTCTAAATATTTGAACGTCCGTTAATCATGCACACAACTTTTATGGAAACCTCCTATGATCAGCCTTGTTTAAAGTTTTTTTAAACTCGTCATGGATTGCCACTGAGCACATGGGAATTACATGCGTGTAATTAAAAACTATATTTAGTTCCATCTTAACTAGTATGTAATTCTTATCCTTGTCAGAGGTGGTCTTTTATTAGCGTGTACAGTATGATATTGTCTAAAGCACAAAGGAGGTTTTAGAAAATCTGAATACATTTAAATCCATAATCTGATGCTTCATTCATATTAACATAAGGAGTGTGATTGTTAGACCATTTTTATTTTGTTTCATATGCTTTAATTTCAGCTTAGGCAATTCCTTATGAAATATTATTTATAAACTTAAAATGTATAGCAGAAGGTATCTCGTCAAGAAAGATTAAAATTAAATTTCTGGTAACTCATGTATATCTCTCTTTGTGTGTATTTTCAATGATCGCATGCACAGAAAAATATAAATCTGAATTACATTTTTATTAAGAATGCAGATTAGTATTTTTATCCTTTAACAGATTGCAAGTAGGTATTCTAGGCACTCTTTTTCTAATGGAACAGTTGGATTGTGAAACTGTTCTTTTTATAAAACCTTTATTAAATACATCTTGTATTTTTGTTCTATGGGCTACAATTATTTAAGAAGAAATTAACTTTTAGATGAAAAATACGAATATGCTGCAATTTGAGCCATTTGTAACTTCAAAGCAAACGTTGGCCAAACAAAGGTTAAACATTGGTTTATATGTATGTGTCAGTGTTCGCACTTTTCAGATTTGCAGGTTTCAGTTCTTCTGTGAGAAATCATCATTGTGTAAGATTAACGTTACAGCATCGCAGTGCTTTGGAAGACTAAGCTAAAACACATGCTCTGTTTTTGCAGGAGAAATAGAATTATTGAAACAATTATGAATGTTTATATTGTATGGGAAGGGAAAGGAGATTTGTTTCTTTTGAAGAAAATAGGTATGAAGCATTTTAAAGATAGTTCCTGAGCATTGTCCTCTGTGCCTTCCAATGTAAAAGTATCAGAAATACCCCACATAATTTAGTCTGTGGCTATACTTAAGGAGACTTATATTTTTCTTCAGTATCATAGGTGTGCTATGGTGGTTTGTAGGAAAATAAAACTAACCGATTCTTGCTTGCAACCTAAATTACACCTAAAATAGCAGGGAAGGACAGAGGATAAAGAAGAGAGGGTGTAGTAAGGCAGGGGTTACACACAATGGAATTTCAGGAGGTATGTTATTGACCGTGTGTGTGTGTGTGTGTGTGTGTGTGTGTGTGTTTTTTAAAGTGCATAAAACTTAATATAAAAAATTGAGCCTTGGGACGGTTGGGGAGTTACAGTTAATTCTCTTTTTTTAAAAATGCTTCTCATTATCTTAGGTTGGAACAAGATATTAAAAAGTTAAAGGCTGACCTGCAGGCAAGCAGGCAAATTGAACAGGAGCTGCGTAGTCAGATCAGTTCTCTGACTAGCACGGAGCGGGGAATTCGAACTGAAATTGGACAGCTCCGACAAGAAAATGAGCTGCTTCAGAACAAGTATGTTTTGCTACAGAACTGTGTATAGAGTATGAACTTGGGCAATTGCAGCATGTTTTGTTTTATTAACGGCTGGCAGCATACTAACCTGGACTCTGGGGAAATCCTGTTTACCTTGCTATCTCTCTGATGGTCCCATCACTCAAATCTAGAAGAGTAGAGAGCAGAGCTTGTCCCTGTATCTTCAAGGAATCTAATTGAATAATCATAGAGCAGTTTTATTAGTAAGTAGAAATGTAGCTTTCCAAGTGTAGCCTAATCGTTTTCAATTCTAGTTGAAGGAGACACATTTCTTAGACTCCTAGTGAAATTGGTAATGTCTTTCCAACTGCCCTCTATTTTTCAATATAAAGTAAGTTTTAAAAAAAAACATGTTCAATCAAGAAGTCAAGCTTTTATACTATTCAAAATTGGCCATCATATAAACATTTCTTGTCCTCACCTTAAAGGTATTTCATGCTCTCTGCAAGCAATACAGGGCACATGAGAATTAGATTTAATAAATTAATATAGGTTTCCAAAGAATTAAAAGACTTAATTTTGCCTTTCTCCTTTTAAACTTAAAATTACATTGGAAATATATGTACAGAAATGTCTTAAGAGATTGCTTTAAAGGTCATATAATTCATTTTATTCCCTCTTTTTTGTAGTAACCTCTTAGAAGTCTGAAAACTTCTCCATACAGATATCTCTATCCAATAAGAATTTTCCTCCTATTTTTTCCCCCAATGGTGATGACATCAAACAGACCTTTTTCTTCCTTGACTTTTTTACTGATATCATGCATCTATTCAAGTTAATGGGCATTTTTCATTGACAAGATTGGCAGCAGCACCCCATTCACGAAGTTGTAATAACAACCAAATACATGGTTGCCACTTTCAGCACCGCCATTGTAAAAAATTATTCTAAACTCCCCTGCCAATAGGAGTTTAGAATCTTCATGATTCTGCCAGAAGGCACAGAGCACCTCCTAGAACAGGACCAATGTATAGCGCCCTGCTTGGACACAAAATGTGTATCCTCATCCATATCCATACCTGCAAAAATGAGCTGCATTTTTGGAGGATATTGGAGGATTTTCAGGGCTTTACCAATGTATACTGCTGCAGAGACCATGGAGGCTGTCCTCGGCACTGTGGCATTAATTGCCTTGTGATTCTTGGCGTGTCATTTCATTGTTTTGGTAAAGGGCTATCTTGTTTTTAAAAGACCGTTTGACATCTGGAAGCACTGTGCAGTAGGTCCAGAAAGACTAATTTGGGGCCTAACCAATAGAAGAACCTTTTTACACTTTAAAAAAAATTACCCAAATCTATTTTAAAAGCATATGCTTATTACTCCTCAGATTACACAATGCTGTACAAATGAAACAAAAAGACAAGCAAACTATCAGCCAGTTGGAGAAAAAACTGAAAGCAGAGCAAGAGGCACGAACCTTTGTAGAAAAACAGTTGCTGGAGGAAAAGAAAAGGAAGAAGTTGGAAGAAGCAACTGCTGCACGTGCTGTTGCATTTGCTGCTGCTACCAGGTACTTACCTTTATTTTAGTCACCGTTTTGCAGCAACTGAAAAGGCTTCACATCATTATCTAGTCCACTTGCAAAAGCAAGGTACTGTCCATTGGTAGAGAGTCAGGTATTAAAGAGACACCATCAACGTAAAGATCTCACTTTGTGTGCTCTTTCAGCCATGGGTAAAGCTGTAAGTGGTGTCTAAGGCCCCAAACCTGCAACTGGTTTGCACAGCAGTCCCGTGCAAATACATGGAGCATGAAATCAGTGAGGCGCTATATAAGCATGGGCTTCACCCATGTAAAACGACTTGCAAGCTTGGGGCCAGAGATTCTACAATTGCAAGATTAAAGGGCAAAATATTTTCCCTGATGTATTTGCTTCATTTACATTGATGCATTGGACACCTCTTGTGTGTGAGCTTTTTTAAAGTTCCCTCTGAATACACAGTTTGCCCTGTCAGTTGTGGCCCCTTTCACACAGCAAAAGGGAAGAGAAATGCATAATTAAAAATAAAAAACTGTCATGCGACAAAAGATTGCCAGGGACTTGGCATGAGACCTATGATGATGGATGTAAAAAATGACTCTCTTAGCTATTTTTAAATTACCAGATTTCTTGTTGACGGTGCCCCTTTAAGTTGTAAAACATAACAGACTTGCTAAATTAACACTATATTTCCTTTATTTGAAGGGGCTTTCTTTTATTTTAGGGTTTTTATAGTTCTTTGAAAGTAAGACTATTTCTGTGTTTTTGTAAATTGATTCTGAAAAAAATTAAAATATTTAAATAAACACCAATGTGTTTTCACTTATTTTGATCTTAGTATGTTTTCCTTTGGCAGAATGCTATCATAATGACTATCTCTCTTTTTATAAGAACTTGGTTTTGTATTTAAAAAGTAATTCAATATTGACCTTTGGCATATGTTAGAGTATTTAATAGGGCTTTTACCTTCAGGAAAAAAAATGCAAAGGTAATTGTTGCACACATTCAAGAAAGCACTGTTGCTCAGAGGTTCAGTGGTGCACTACTTGTGCTCCCATTAGGTTTTGAAGAAGTAACTTGCTAAATAGAACTAGTCTCTAGCTTGCTGAAGTGTGGGGTGGAATAGATAATGCCCAAAGCAATTAACTGCAACTGCAGGGGCTACTCCATCTTCATTGAAAATGTGTTGTGTAGTGATCTGTCATGCAGGGAAGAAAAGTGGTGGCATTTTGTCAGGTTCTTTGAGATGGGCTAAAAGTAAATATTTGATCACTTAGGACTTTTTCTCTTTGGGCTAGTGGCAGTTGAGTGAGTCACTAAGATGATGCACTTAGTCTATGAAGGTCCAATCCTGCAGGGCTCACTGAAGGATTTATGTGCTCAGCATTGGGTTATGTTGTCATGGGAGATGCCAACGGTATCATATCACCATTTGCCGCCATGAATGGTATCGATAGCATCTCGGAGAGCGGCCACCTGGTCTGCTCCAAGATTCTCCTTTCAGGTAGCAAGAAAGAAGCTAGTGAAACGGTTCAGGGCAGCCCTGAAAGATCTTTGGCACAAGGCTTTTTAGAGGAAAAAGGCAAATCTGGGGAACTCCTCAGTAAGATCTTTGCCTTAATTTAAATTGCTTGCACTTTCATGAGCTGCTAGCACAAAATTATAAGTTTGTGCCATAAAACAAAATCATACATTTCAGCAACAGTGTTGTTATTCTGATGACTACCCAGTAGACCTGTCTTCATGAATTCAAGTGTCCAGAAATAAATCACTTTGTGTGCTGTATAAGTACATGAAAATGGGTATCCTAAAATCCTTCTCACAATAACAGAGACTTTCATCTCTAACACAAAGCTAACAATTTAATGGGTGAAATACAATTTTTAGACAAAACAGTTATATTAGTGTCCTATCTGTAATTTCTCTTCACCCGTACTAGGAAACAACCTTTAAAGTCTGTTTTTCATTATTCTGGAGAATCAAAATATCTAAGGCTTGAAAACAAGTCCTGTTAATGATATATTGTAGAATATAGTTGAGTTATAGCTATTGTCACTGAAATGCCTTTTTTTTTCTTTTCTACATAAAGAGGAAATTTGCGGGGAGCTGATTTCATTTTGTTGGTAGAAGGAAGTCAAATGTATATCATGATACAGAATCTTAGTTTATATAATTTTTTGCATAAAAGCATTGGGAGGGAAATGTTTCTCATGTAGTTGTGGATGCTAAATTAGCATCCTGCTATAGTAAATTCACAGGATGGTGATTCCTGATAAATATTTATGCTTTATATTGATCAGTTTCATGCAGAGTCATTGTACTACCTGTGTCATGTGCATCCCTTTAAAAAAAAAAAAAGTGTGTGTGTGTGTGTGTGTGTGTGTGTGTGTGTGTGTGTGGGAGGGGGGGGTCCCTACCTGTTCTGCGTGGATATGAAAGACCCTAAAGTACTTTTTACATGAACCAAGGTTTGCCCTAGAAATTATGGCCAAAATTTCTTCGTTACCTCAGACCTCCACTGTTGTACCCAAGGTGTCATGTTCAGGCTGGTTACCATCCTTCATCCCAGAGTTGGATGCATTTTGGTGATGTGACCAGATAAATAGTTGGAAAGCATTTGAGATTTCCAAATGAAAGGCACTGCTGAATCCATTAAGGCCCCCAATATCTCAAATACTAATTCCTGCTTTTTCTCTTCTCCAGAACATACAAATGTCTCAAACTTCTTTGTTTCAGGCATAATCTTGGCTAATGATTTTTCATCCTTTTGTCTTACTTTCATGAAGGAAAGTCTGTCATTTAAAAAAACATTATTCTCCTTTCTAATTTTATTCAGCAATATTCATAGTAACGTGACTGATCTGAACCTTTCAGGGACACTAACAGAAGAGTTGCCTTTGTTTCACTCCCTTTTATGATAACACTTCCTTCACAGAGGAGAATGCACTGAAACTTTACGAAATCGTATCAGAGAGCTGGAGACAGAATGCAAGAAGCTAACAATTGACATAAAGCTGAAAGAAGACCAGATACGAGAACTAGAAATGAAAGTTCAGGTAATGAGAAGGCACTCTGGGCTCAGACTTGCAGCGTGTTGAGTGCTTCAACCCTCAGTGTAGTTGGTGAACCTTCCTAGCACAATTGAACCTTTCAGATGTGTTGTGCCCATCTAACATTAGGGTTTGGGGGTGAAGAAGATTAGTAATAGTTTCTTACCCTCCTCACCACCTCGTTATGTACTTGTAGATTCTCTCCTCCCTCAAACCAGCTAATTCAGGTAAGCTAACTCAAAATGCTAACCCTCTATGCCCCTGTGTAGGAATACATTGTCAGCCCTGGCACCCTTGTAAGATTCTTCTTCCCAGTTAAGGAATAAGTTTGCCTGCACAACACCTTCTAACTGACATGAAATAACTTTTGGTAAAAGTGAAAAAGCTGAAAGGAACAGACTGAGTTGATTTCAAACTTTGAAAGCACCATATGAGGCTACATCTGTCCATGAGCCTACCTGGTATTTCTGTTTTTACGGTCAATGGTTTGCCATTGAAATGTCTTCCTCTCCCCTGTTGCTGCTTGAAAGTCCCACACAAACCAAAACTAATTATATGAAGGGAAAGCAGCGAAACTGTGCTGATTACATACAGTACAGCCAAAGCAAAACTGAAATAATATTTTATTCTTTAATTTTTTGTTGCACTCGTTTATCTGGCTTGTAACAAGGCTAAGTAAAAAGATTCAAATGAGTGAGGTTTTTCCTTTAAAACACATGCTTCTCAGGGCACAGTCAGATAGTGAATTGAGAATTTGTATGTCAGATGCTTAACTTTGATATATGGTTTGTTTAGTTTTTTTTACTATATTCTATCTTCTGACACATTCTTTAATCTTCAAGATCTGACTGTGAGCTTTTTCCAGGTTGCACATATAATGTTTGTTTTAAAAAGCAGGTAGTTGTTTAAATGATTAAAGATCTCAAAAACATGAGCTATGAAGGAAGGCTGAAAGAACTGGGCTTGTTTAGTTTGGTAAAGAGAAGACTGAGAGGGGACATGAGAGCAGTTTTTAAGTATCTAAAAGGGTGTTACATGGAGGAGGGAGAAAAATTGTTCTCCTTGAGGACAGGACAAGAAGCAAGGGACTTAAATTGCAGCAAGGGAGGTTTAGGTTAGACATTAGGGAAAAATTTCCTACCTGCCAGGGTGGTTAAACACTGGAATAAACTGCCTAGGGAGGTTGTGGAATCTCCTTCACTGGAGATATTTAAGAGCAGGTTTAGCCTCCATTCATTAGCCAGGATGGGTAGGAATGGTGTCCCTAGCCTCTGTTTCTCTGGAGGTGGGTGATGGGAGGGATCACGTGAGGATTACCTGTTGTGATCCCTCCGTCTGGGGCATCTGGTATTGGCCACTGTCAGCAGACAGGACACTGGACTAGATGGACCTTTGGTCTGACCCGGTCTGGCCGTTCTTATGTTTAGGTTAGTTAGGCCTATGTCAGGGATGATCTGGACGGTGCTTGGTGCCATGAATGCAGGGGACTGAACTTGATCTCTTGAGGTCCCTTCTAGTTCTAGTGTTCTATGAAGCTACCCACAATGACTGGTTTGTGGGGGGAGGGTTATATTTCAAACTGTTGCTTCTGTAGAAGTTTTGTTGTTGCCTCAGCACTTCAGAATTTCTCCTCTGTTTTTTCTTACCCACCAATTTCTCTGCTTAAAACGCTAGGTTTTTTAATACCAGCTTTTTTAAAAAATTGTGAAATTTTAATATTTGTATTTCCAGCCTTATTGATTGGTTGTCTTTGTGCAAAGTAATTATTTTTTTCTTGTATTTGATTTTTGGACTTGTGAAATAATTACAAAGCCCAGATCACTTCCTGGCTGAATTTACATCTTGATTCTTCCTGAGCAACTGAAATGGCTCAACGTACCATGTTTACTCATTAAAAAAAAATCTCAGAGGGGTAGCCATGTTAGTCTGTAACTTTATATATAAAATCTTGGTTTCTGTTATTTCCACTCCAATTCATTTGAAGTGGGTTTTACCCACTGAAGTTCATGGTTCTGTACCTTTTGGTTAGTCTCTAAGGTGCTGCAGAACTACTCCTTGTTTTTATATTTACCCAGTGTCACTTTAAACCACTGGTTCTCAAACTTCTCAACTATTGTAGCCCTTTCAGGAGTTTGATTTGTCCTGTGTACCCCAAATTTCATCTCACTTAAACAGTTTTACAAAATCACACCTAAAAATACAAGTGTCACAGCCACACTATTACTGAAAAATTGCTGACTTTCTTGTTTACCACATAATTATAAAATAAATCAATTGGAATGTAAATATTGTGCTTACATTTGAGTGTGTAGTAGTATATCGAGCAGTATGAACTAGTCATCCAATGCTTTTTCTTTAGCCTGTTGTAAAACTAGGCAAAAATCTAGATGTGTTGATGTACCCCCTGGAGCCTCTGCATACTCCTAGAGGCACTGTGTTGATGTACCCCCTGGAGCCTCTGCATGCTTCTAGAGGCACATGTTTCCCAGGGTGAGAACCACTGATTTAAGCTGGCAATAGTGGGAGCCGATCTTTTGGTGCCCATTTAGCTACATTGACTAAAATAACAATCTAAAGTCCTTTATATAAAATTCCATTGGGGGATTCTGTTTTTCCATCCCAAACCTGGTTCTTCATGTTCCACAGTGAGCGACTCAGCTCTCCCACTGGCACTTCCAGGGTGGAAATGAGCTCCAGAGAGGTTTTTCTCACATCGCTGCAGTCTGCTTGTATAGTATTATTCACTTGGACAAAGCCATGTGTAATTAAGAACAGTATAATATCACAGGCAGTAATTACCTACCATTCGACAGCGCACTAGGCTCAGTGGTGTGCTAGGACGTGGGGGAGGGAGAAAGACCTGGCTATACATCTCCTGCTTAAAGTCCATATGAATAGCATTTTTGTCTTAATTACTTTGATAGGAACTGCGGAAATACAAGGAAAATGAGAAGGATACTGAGGTGTTAATGTCAGCACTTTCAGCCATGCAAGATAAAACGCAGCACTTAGAGAACAGCCTGAGTGCAGAGACAAGAATCAAGTTGGATCTGTTCTCTGCATTAGGAGATGCAAAACGGCAGCTGGAGATTGCCCAAGGTAAATGCAGTCGTTTCATTCACCTACTATTTATTATGAGCTGAAACATTAGAAAATACATTGTCAGGATTACTCTGGCCTATCTGTAGGGCTGGATTGAATGTTCTAAAGGATTCACCTAATTCCCCCTACTGTTGACTCAAAGACAATAAAATCCTTGGTTACTGGTGCTTGTTAGTGGGAGCTGGATGAATACGTTCCTCATACAGTAGAAATCTATCTCCAACCAGAACAACAAAAAGCTTTAAAAAAGTTCTATGCAATGTAGTGGTTCCCAGATACTAGAGAGAGTGTGGGTGAGCTAATATCCTTTACTGGTGCCACTTCTGTTGGTGAGAGAGACACGCCTTTGAGCCACACACAGCTCTTCAGGTCTCTGCAAGAAGTCGTCACCCTGCCTTGCAGCGCTCAGTGTGACTCGAAAGCTCATCTCCCTCATGAGCAGAAGTTGCTTCAAGCTCACCCACCTTGTGTGTCTTTTTTTTTAAGGGTATTTAGTCAATTACTTTAATTCCTCTTAATTATTTTGTGGAAAATATTCTCTAGTTATTGGGGCAGGGGGAGGAGTCCACCATGATACCTTTGAGTTTTGTGGAAAATATTCTCTAGTTATTGGGGCAGGAGGAGGAGTCCACCATGATACCTTTGAGTGGGGAAGAACAGACCAAGTGATGGGCAACTTATGCAAGGGAGTGTGCTGCATGAGTGGCCTTCCTCCATCCCAGGGGGCTGCACAATTGTTGTAGCCAAGACGGTCTCCCCGGAGACGGTGATTTTGCTCCCTGTGCTTGTGTATCTAGGATTTGCCAGGTGCGTACACTGAACCGTAGCAGCGCTTTGTACGCAATGGGAGCGCCCGGCTCCCAGTCACTGCTGCGTGCAGTCAACACGCACCTCACTTCACTTGCCCTGGCTTTACCCACGTGTCAGAAACTATGTGGCTGGACCCAGCAGAATCTGGGTATCCTATGCGTGAGCAATGGTAAACACAATGCCTCATGGGCCACACGTAGAACCCTGGTTGCCCACCACTGACAGACTGTTTGAGATGTGTCTAGTTGTAGTCTGCCACTGTAGCCAGCAGAGGGAGCAAAACGTCAACTAACCAGCCCATTCCAAGACCTGTACTAATAGCTACTTGACTCTTACCGTGCAAACAAGGAAGCAAAAATGTATAAGATTTTTCATGTAACATTCATCAGAGCATCCCTGCAGAAACTTATTTGCTTCCAGCAATACTTTTTGACGAGTCAAGTAGATATTTTTTGGGTTTCTTTCATTGTGGGGTGGTTTTATGAGTGGTTTTTTGGGAGAAGGTGGGGATGGGCTGGGGTTATAGTCAGAATATTCTAAACCTAAAATAGGTAAAGCAATATCTTCACATTTTTCAGAGGAATTTATTTAAAAAAATGGAGAATGAAAATAGGAACCTTTTAAAAATAAAAAGTAAACGACTGTCTTAATAGTAGACAGTCTTATTCCATCTGGGTGCTAGTGAACTGCAAGCTGCCAAAGTGTAGACATCAAGATAAATAACATTTGTTTTGAAAATGTCTGCTACTGATGCTAATAGTTTAAAATTTGGCAGTAGCTATGAAGGAGTACAAGCCTGCATTAACTTTGTTCAGTGTTAATAAACCAGTTCTTCTGTGGATGGTCTAGTTGGTGTTAGGGCCCTGAATTTCCTTTGATTGTTTTGCTTGATCGGTTTAAGTCTCCGCTTTTCTCAAACTATAGTCTATGGGTTGCCAGGGGTAGATGAAAATGTGCTGCTTGTTCTAAGTGACACTCTTTGCTCTTCCAGGGCAAATTATTCAGAAAGACCAGGAAATCAAGGACCTAAAACAGAGGATAGCAGAAGTGATGGCAGTGATGCCCAGCATAACATACAGTGCAGCCACCAGCACCCTGAGTCCCGTTTCCCCACATTATTCTTCCAAATTTGTGGAGACCAGCCCTTCTGGACTTGACCCCAATGCCTCTGTTTATCAACCCTTGAAAAAATGAATGCCAACTTCCTTTTTGCCCAACAATTTTGTCAGACCGAAGGCATCGCACAGGAGTGTCTCTTGCAGTCAAGATGAAATTGTATTGTGTGAGACTGTATTTGTCATTTAAACAGAAAGGGGGAAAAGAACATCAATATTTGGCTAGAACTGCCCATCGGTTTTTCCTGTAAATTTTTAGAAAACCTCACAGAACTTTGCAATTTATTTTTCTTGGCCAATGCATTAAAAACAACTCTTGGTTTTCAATTAGCCAATTTTTGCCTTTTTATGTACTCTTGCATGGTTTCCTCTTGAAAAACACAGGGCTTTGCTTGATTCTGAACCCTTTCTTTTTTAATAATCAACCTAAAATTGCAAATCAAAGTCATAAAGGTACGATGATGAAAATTCTTCCGTTTTTAGAGTGAAAGGGTTAAATAATCTAACAAAGCCTTGATTTATAGCTGTATTAAATAAAGGTACGTGATGTTGCAGAAAATAATTTGATTTCCCCTGAAAGGACCAAACAAATTTAAG